CCCCAAAACCCCAAAACCCCAAAACCCCAAAACCCCAAAACCCCAAAACCCCAAAACCCCTGAAACAAAGGAAAAGATTGAAATATAAAATCATCATGAAAGTTGGGGTTACAGGTATTACTGGATTTCTTGGTTCCACCGTTGGAAAACACCTCTTACTATCAGGGAAGTATCATGTTAGAGGATCAGTGAGGAGCTTAGAAAATGCTAGCAAAATCAACCCCATCAAGCAAGCCTACAAATCTTACGAAGATGCTTATGAATTGAAAGAGGCAGATCTTTTAGATGACGACAGTATTTATAAGTTTGTGGAAGGATTAGATTACGTCATTCACGTTGCTTCACCATTCCCTGATATATCAAAGAATGTTAATGAAGAAGAACTTATCAAACCTGCTGTTGATGGAACCTTGAGTGTCTTAAGAGCTTCACAACACTTTGGAATCAAAAGGGTCGTCGTAACAGCTTCAACTGCAACCATATCTGATGGGGCAGGCTCAAAACTTACTTATGATCACACAGACCATGTTGATCCTGAAACTGTAGTAAACCCTTACATCAAGAGTAAGATCCTAGCTGAGAATGCAGCTTGGGAATTTGTTGAAGAAGCTAAAGAGTCAGGCTCCCCTCTTGAAATGTCAACCATCCATCCAGCCGGTATCATAGGCCCTACTTTAACTAAAGGTACTGAGTTTACTTCAATGTCTGTTTTCAGAAATTTCATGACAGGCAAATTCCCATTGCTTCCCAAAATCACGATTGGGCTTAGTGATGTCAGAGATCTTGCTGATGCTCATGAAAAAGCTCTTTTTGCGGAGCCATATCAAAGATATGTTACTGCTTCATATGCTTTATATGCTAAAGAAGTAAGCCAAATAATCAAAGAGGAATTTGGAGATAAAGGTCTTAACCCAACCACTAGAGAGATGCCGTACCTGATCGCTAGAGCGATGGCTACTTTCAATCCTGTTCTCAGAGGATATCTTGGCAGATGGGGCAAGAAGATCACCTACGATTGCTCAAATGCAGAAAAACATTTAGGGTACAAGCAAAGATCACCAAGAGAATCTATCATAGATATGACCAACAGCTTCATCAACCAGGGCTATGTCAAACCCACCACATAACCTCCCATACTCCACTTCCCAAATTCAACCATTACCTGTCCACCCGGGGTTTTGGGGTTTTGGGGTTTTGGGGTTTTGGGG